AAGTGGGGGTGGGGGAGGTGTGGAGCAGAGATGGGCTTTGAAGGAAGCTAGGGGAAGAAGGGGGTACACTCCCGGCATGGGGGCCAGGAGACCCTGGGATGGAAGGTCACGTCCGGGGGGCCATCGGCCAGGCGGGAAGCAGCCCCCTCGGCCCCAGCCCGCGGCCCGGCCCGCATACCTCTCCGGCTCCGAGTCGCTGGAAATCTCCTCGCTCAGCTTGGGTCTCTTCTTGGTACCTACCTTGGCCCGGGCCGGCTCCCCCTCAACGTCGGGCTGCCAAGAAAAGGGCCCCGCCCCCCGGTCAGAGGCTATGTCCGGGGGCAGCCGCAGGCTACGACCCCCGAGGGTGGCTGAGAGTGGCGAAGCGGGGGCCCAGGGGAGGGGGAGGAGCCCGGGCTGAACGCACCCGCTGGAGAAAGTTCACGGCCTCACCTTCCGCCGCCGCTTCCCCGCACCCGGGCCCGCCGGCCTCCCCCGCTTTCCCGAGGCCGCTACAGTCGCCGACATGTTGCCTCCACACTTCAGCCTAAGCGGCGCGAAGCTCACGTGGTGGCTGACCCGGAAGGCCTGGGCCACGCCCCTTATTCGCTGATAGGATCCTGCCTCATGGCCCCGCCTCTCTTCTCCCCTCATAGGACCCAGCTACAGCTATGGTCACGCCTCTGAGACTCTCATAGGTCAAGGGGAGGAGTATGGCCACAGCCCTTAAAGGGGCGGGCTTTTCTGCCCCTAGAGGAAGATGTAATAGGAAGTTCGTCGCAACCGCTTCCTGCTTCAGGGACTATTGCGCATGCTCGCTACCGGGACGAGTCTGGGAAGGGACAAGGAGGGGGAGTGAGAGGAACAGGGCTGCTGTGCTTCCGGGGAGCAGCTTCTAGGGGGCGCCCGAGATACACCCCGGGGTTTTGTTGGCCGCCAGGGACTTGGGGGAGGAGAGCGGGACATGCTACTGGCTACTGACGAGCCTGGAATGAGCCGTACGTGGCGCCTAAGCACAGAGGCTCCTGGAGAGAACGATGGTGCCAACTGGGCACGGGAAAGAAGCTTGGGCTTGACTGGTGTGTGGTCAGCAGGCACAGAGAACATGGCTGAGCCTGGCAGTGACCGCAGGGTGCCTGAGCAATGCCCACCAGACAGGAGGGACCCCCAGGGTGACAGGGAGAGCCTGGGGTGTTGACAGTGTCAGCTGGGCACTGGGGTGACGGGGCAATGCCCACAGACAGGAGGGACCCCCTACATGAGGAGAGCCTAGGGTTGTTGAGAGTGTCAGCTGGGCACTGGGGTGACGGGGCAATGCCCACCAGACGGTAGGGACCCCCAGGGTGACAGGGAGAGCATGGGGTTGTTGATAGTGTCATCTAGGCACTAGGAATGTTACCTGGGAGCGATGCCACCCCTTCCAGGGCAGAACACCCCACCCAGACACTTATACGCTTCAGTATGCCCTAATCACCCTCCTCCCCCTTGAGGACAGGAAGCAACAATAAAAGGGGTGTGCCAGTCTCTGAAGGTCCTCCCTTGGCCCAAAGGGCATGTTAATAAGCCCAGGACCAATCTATTATTGAGGGACCAGCTGGGTTCTATCCTTCCCTCTTGGCCTCCCCAGCATGTGGGCTGCTGGGGCTGCCTGTTGCCCAAGGAGCCTGGTGGCCCCTCCTACTGCCTGAAATGCCTACTGAGGTCACCCTGGGACTGGAGGGGGGGGGGAGACAGGAGGAGGGTGGTGGAAGGTCTGGGGGAGGAGAAGCAGCTGCTGAAGCCCTACCCTAGTCTTGCCTTGCCCCACAACCCCAGAAAGAACTGGCTGCCCAGAGGTGAGTGCCAGCAGCCCCACCGCAGGGCACCCCAAAAAACTAGGGTGGGCAAAAGCTAGAGGTTGTTGGAGGAGGGGAGTGTCTCAGACACTGACTCTAGGGCAAAGACTCTGGGTGGGCATTACTGGGGTCGTGGGGGGGGGGGGGAGAGGAGGGATAGTGGACACAGCCCTGGGCCAGAGAGATAGGCTTGACTTCCTGGGTCTAGGTTGGTATGACTGTCATGCCCACCTTCTCTCAGGATCCTAGATGGGAAGGGAACCCCTCCCAGCAGCCCCACCACAGGGCACCAAAAATAACTGGGGTGGGCAAGAGCTAGAGGTTATTGGAGGAGGAGAGGGTCTCAGACACTGACTCTAGGGCAAAGACTCTGGGTGGGCATTACTGGGGTCGTGGGGGGGGGGAGAGGAGGGATAATGGACACAGCCCTGGGCCAGAGAGATAGGCTTGACTTCCTGGGTCTAGGTTGGTATGATTGTCATGCCCACCTTTTCTCAGGATCCTAGATGGGAGGGGAACCCTTCTGTCCCCTCTACTTGAGCCGTCTGCCCCCCACCACTCCAAAAGCTACCTCCCCCTAGGCTTACCCCCCTGCCCCTCTACACACACACACACACACACACACACACACACACACACCCCTTCTTCCTGCACTGTCTCATCCAGTGATTCAGCCCCATGCCTGTGCCAAGCCTAGGGTAGCTGAGCATTCCTGGAATTGACAGAAAAGTGGAGAAGTCAATGTGGGCCAGGCCCAGATATCATGGGGAGGATTTTGTGAACTAGGAAACAGAAATAAAAATTCTTTCCATGTGTGGGGCTAGTGAGGAAACCTCTTCCCTACAGATAGGAGCCCAGTTTCCTTTAAAAGTGATGTCTCCCTACTACCAAGTTCCCTTTAACCCCTCACAGTCTAGACTGCATGGTTCAGAGTTCTTTTGAAGCCCAGGGTTTGATGCTACCACAGAGATGGTGTCCAGCCTCCCAGTCTCAGATCCCCAGGGAGGTAGAGACATGACTTTAGCCTAAGATTAACCCTTCCTTGCCCACAGCCAGAAAGGTATGACTAGGACTATCAGGTTTATGGTTTTCATTCATAAAATAAGTATTTATTAAGCATCTAATATACCCTGTACCTGGTGCCTAGGAAAATACGAAGACAGTCTCATGGTGCTCACAGGCTAACGTACAGTAATCACTGTACACGAAACTCTCTGGCCTTCCGTCTGCGGGTCTCTAACCCTAGAGTACTGAATTTATCCCAGAGACCTGAGTTCAAATCCAGACTTAGACACTTACTAGGGATGTGACCCTGGGCAAGTCACCTAACCCCATTACCTCAAAAAAAAAAGACATGAAGCAGCTGAAGAGATCATTTTTAGTGGAGGATCTAAGACCATAGGTCTGCAGCCATTCACTTTCAGCTTCCTTGTCTGTAAAACGAGGCTAATGATACCTACCTCACAGGATTGTTGTGGGGAATCAGATGAGAAAATTATGTAACGTGCTTTGCAAACTTTTAGATGTCAGCTACCATCATCGTTATCCTCATTATGCCTAGGTGTTATTATTATCTTTTTTTAATAGATGACAACACTGAGCTTCAGAGACTGAACTATAGCTAGTGAATGGGAGATTGGAACTCAGGTCTCCTCATTTCAAATCTAGTGCTCTTTTTTATCCAGATTGCCTATGGAAATCCTTGTAAGGGGAAGGATGCCTCTGTAATAATAATCATTTGTTGTTCAGTTGTTTCAGTCATGTTTGACCCTTTGTGACCCCATCTGGGGGTTTTCTAGGCAAAGATACTGGAGTGGTTTGTCATTTCCTTCTCCAGTTCACTTTACAGATGAGGAAACTGAGGCAGACTTGCCCAGTGTCACACAGCTAGTAAGTGTCTGAAGCCAGATTTGAACTCAGGAAGACTCATCTTCCTAACTCCAGGCCGGGCACTCTATCCACGATGCCACCTAGCTAACAACAACAATAACATTTAATGATGCTTACTATGGGCCCACAGGAGTACTGTGCAATGTGCCGTACAAAGATCATCTCACTTGATGGGATGGAAAGTGCTATTATTATTCCCATTTTACAGATAAATAAACTGAGGCAAACAAAGGTTAAATGACTTGCCCAAGGACACACATCGAGTGTGTGTGAGGACAAATTTTAACTCAGGTCTTCCGACTCCAGGCCCCCTGGAGCTCTGGCACCACCAAAGACAAGGAGGTGCCTACTTGGGCTGCTACAGAGGGTGCATGTTGGGGAAATGATTGGAAAGGCAGGAGGGGATTGATGATAGAATAACTTGGAGCAAACCTAGAGAGGGTCTGATCCAAAGGATCATAGACTTAGGGATGGAAGGGACCCTAAAGACTGTCAAGTTCAGCCCCCTCCTTTTATCAGTGAGCAAAGTAAGGCAAGCAGAGGTGGTCCCTTGCCCAGGATCACGCAGCTAATATGTATCTGAGAGAAATGTTCATTTTCTATTAATAACCCATTATTAATTAGGATCCAGGCTTTTTTATTTCCTCATTCAGGGAGCAGCCCCTGCAGACCAGGCAGCCAGTCTCTTAAGGGCATGACTAATAGATGAGATTGCCCTAAGTCTCTGGGAACTTGCTCATGCGTCTTGGGCAGGACCCCACCCAACTAGGAGACCTTACTTCTGTTCAAAGTGTAGACAGAATCTAATCTAGGTGAATTTGTGCCCTTTGGGAATAAGCCCACGTCCTTGTACCCCTCCATTGGAGTTTAGGGTGACCCATGGGGTTCGTGAAGAAGAAAACCAACTGGAGTGGTCTGGGTAGAGATGGATTCCCCTGTCCAGACTGTTGGAGGTGGCTGAGTCTCATGATCAAGCCATGTTCCCAGCAGAAGCTGGAGACTTTTAGCTCACTTTCTCATTTAAATGTCTACCAATCAGGGTCGATTTCTCCTGTCAGGGGCATTCCCTTTCATAAAAATATTTATGGCATTCAATGTCTTAACTATCAATTTGTTGATTATTAGCTAGCCTAATTAACAAATTGATTATTAATTACCCAGAAATTGTGTCTCTCAGGCTTTTCATTCATCACATATTGGAGGCAGGATTCAAATTCAGACCTTCAGGGCAGCTAGGTGGCACAGTGGATAGAGCACCGGCCCTGAAGTCAGGAGGACCTGATTTCAAATCCAGCCTCAGACCAAACACTTGACATTTGCTAGCTGTGTGACCCTGGGTAAGTCACTTAACCCCAATTGCCTGGAAAAAAAAACAATCAAATTCAGACCTTCCTGGCTCCAAGGTCATTCTCTGGCCACTAGACCACACTGTCTCTCATAAGGCAGGGGCGGAGGAGTTTCTGAACACTCTCTTCCTCAATGGCTCCTAAGCGCAAGGCAGCTTCTGTAAGCACTGGAACACCCAAGAAGAAGAAAGCAGAGGCAGAGATCGACTTGCGCTCAACCATAGAGGCCCTTAACGCTGCCCCCAAGGAGACATGGAAGGCTCGGGTGGATTCCATGTGCCCACTCAGCAGCAACCCTGCTGTCCAGGTGGGCCCAGTCCGTAGGGTGGCTCACTCCTCTTAGGAGCTGGTGAATGGCTTTGCCCTGGGCCTGGGGGCTTGGCCGAGGGAATTGGGAATTGGGAGCTGTCAATCTCTTCTTTCAATGAATCAAGCAGGCCCTGAGATTAAGGAAGGGCAGAAGCCTCTGGGCCCCAGGTGGGGGGTTTAGAAAGGAGAATATTCCAGGACCCCTGGATCCATTCCCAGCCTTCAGTAGGGCATGAGGCTCACAGCAGAAAGAGAGGGAAAGAAGGCTGTCTGATGGCCACATCTCCGCTGAAGGCCGGCTGCGGGTGAGCCCTGACGCTGGGGCTCTCTACCCTTCTTCCCTGCCTCTGCCCCCAGGTACATGAGGATTACGACTGTGCACTGAACCAGACCAACATAGGAAACAACAACAACAAATTCTACCTCATCCAGCTGGTGGATGACAACGGTCATTACGGCTGCTGGAACCGCTGGGGTCGTGTGGTGAGTGGCCACCATGGCTGGGCGTCTAAGCGGCACCGGCTCACGCGGGTGGCCTGAGGACCCTGGCCCTCCAAGTGGGCTGTCAGGGGAAGGGGTGGAGGGAGCCCAGGGCCGGAACAGAGCACGATGCCTGCCTTCATCTGTCCAGGGGGAGACGGGCCAGTCCAAGCTAAAGTTTTTCCCCTCCTTGGATGAAGCCAAGCAAGACTTTGAGAAGAAGTTCTGGGAAAAAACTAAGAACCGCTGGGCCGATCGGGACAACTTTGTGGCCCACTCGGGCAAGTACACACTCATCGAAGTGCAGGCTGATGATGGTGAGGAAGGCCAGGAAGGCGCGGTCAAGGTGAGTCCCACCCAAGTATCTCCCCTGGCATTCTCACTCAGCACCCTAGCCGGAAACCTAGGGGACCCCCTCCTAGTCATAGCAGGAGTGAATCAAAGCTGCGTACAGAGAGCCAAATAGAGTGCTAGGCTTGAAGTCAGGGAGAGCAGATGTCAAAACCTGCCTCAGACGCTTCTAACTGTGGCACCCTGGGCAAGTCACCCAGCTTCTCTCAGCCTCGATTTCCCCATCTGTAAAATGAGGGTGTCTGAGTGGATGGCCTCGTGAGCCCATGCTGGGTCCTCTGCTGTGAAGCAGACACCATAGGAGCAGAGTCTACACTCCTTGGATGATGGTACAGGCAGGGCTTTCATGAACAAAGGTTGCAAAGTGCTTTCTATAGGCTGCTGTCAAGGCAGCATGCGCTATGCACGAGATGCTAGAGGGGTGGATTTAGAGACAGGAAGAGCTGGGTTCAAATTCCACTCTGGCATTGTGTGACTGTGGACGTTACCTCTCTGAGCCTCAGTTTCCTCATCTCTAATAATAATTTGCATCACTAATTCCTGTAATAGCTGCCTTCAGAGAAGTTTTGTTAAGTTCAAATGAGATCATGCCCCCCAACACCTGAATAATGTGCCTTGTATACTTCAAAGCCTTACAGAAATGTTATTATTATCATTTGATCCTCACCAGGAGGGAATAGGCCCTCCCTACAGGTATTATGATCTCAGAGAGAGGATGTGACCTGCTTGGGGTCATCCAGTCAGTCAGCAGTTGAGGCAGGACTAGAACCCAAGTCTTCTGGTTCCAAGACTAGCCCGACTTCTTTTCTAGCATACTGCCTTGGGCAGTTTTTGTTCACTGCCTCAAAGAGGGCCTGGTTGGTGTGGGTCCTGATGCCAGCTTGGGGGCCCCCTCCTCTTCCTGTATGAGGTCTGTGACTCACTCCAGTGGGGGCTGGGGCCACAGCAGAGACAGGGGCAAACTGGGCTCCAGTCCCACCCAGGCTGAGGGTTCTCTGCTGGGGGAGGAGAATCCTCTCTCATAGAAAAGAAGCTCTTTGAGGCCAAGACCCTAATTTTCTTTACTTTGAATCCCCAGTGCCTAACACAGACCCGAGCCCACAGAAGGCACTTAAGAAATGCTTGTTTGCTCGACTGAACCCTGGGAAATCGGCTAGAGACCAGCATGCAGTACTTTCCCTATGGTCTCCTGTCCCCTCTGACCTAGGCAGGGCCCTGCTGCCTGGTCTGTGGCACGAGGCCCATTGACTACCCCACTCCTTCTACCCCCAAGTTTCTCTCTCCATCTCTTTGGTTTGAGCCTAGTATTCCAGGGTCTAGATCTCATTTCAGATGAACGACACACATTCATTAAATGTCTGAATTAGGTGCTAGGGATTCTCCAATAGAAAGATAAAAAGGAAATAACCCTTTCCCTCAAAGAACTTACATTCTCCAGTGGGGGCGGGGGGCAGGGGACACAATACGTAGAGATAAGTAAATACAAAGTATGTGCAGAATAATTCAAAGTAATCTCAAGAGGGAAAGCATACTAAAAACTAGGGGAATGTTGTTTGTCCTTTCTCAAAGAGGATCAGTGACTTCAGGAGGGTGATGTCTTGACTTGCAAGTGAATTGGATTTAAGTGAGGGGGAGCTGGCTGTGCAAACTCACCTGCCTCATTTTCTCCTCCAGAGTCATCTTAGTCCAGCAGCAAGACATAGGTCAGGATGACTGATGATGGCCCAAATGCAATGGGAAACCCCCGGCCTTTTAAGCTGAGGTCTTTCCAAGTTTCAGTTTCTCTGAGGCAACACCCATTCAGTGACTAAAGGCTTTGAGGCAAAAGAAAGCCTAGTTTGACTTCCCAAAAGAATCAGTCTGGGAGGGGAAGACACTCAGAGTTTCTGGCAAGAACAGAAACAGTTGCTATTTACAGTTGTTCTGAGCCATCAAAACCCAAACAATAAGCAAGTGAGGCTTGGGCTGGGACCTATTATTGGCCAATCGTTGAGAGCCAGAGCGATTTGGGTTTAAAGGCATAGTGGAGTAGCTCCATTTGAATCCCAATGGGCATTATCAAATTATCTGAGCTGTTATTTCAAGAAATCATGAATGAAAACTACATGAGACAAAAGAGTTAATTTTTCCAATTTTAGGGGGGAAAAGATAGAAAATAAATAAATGGGGAGGATGGAAATCTAGCCCTCAACCCCAAGATATAGGAAGAGGAGGAAGAGGAAGGAAGGAAATAGCAGTATTGCCCGACTGGAGCTGGCTAAGTGGGTGTGGGGTATAACTACTACTACTCACAGATTGTTGTTTTTCTTTCTTTTTCTTTTTTTTTTTTTCCTTTGGTAAGGCAATGGGGTTAAGTGACTTGTCGAGGGGTCACATAGCTAGTGTCAGATGTCTGAACTGGATTTGAATTCAGGTCCTCCTGACAAGAGTGATATCTTGCCTTGCAAGTGAATTGGATTTAAGTGAGGCAGGGCTGTGCACTTGAAGATTTTTGGGTAGAGAAGTGACATGGTCAGATCTGTGTTTTAGGACTGTCCATTTGGTAGTTGTGTGGACAGACTGGAGAGAAGAAGCAGTTAGGAAGCTCTGGCAATTAGGGTTAGGGTGAGTCTCCAGGTGAGAGGTGATGAGGACCTGAACTAGGGTAGAGGCTGTGTTCTTGGAGAGAATGATAAAAGAGATATTATGGAGCTGGAAGAATTGAGTGATAGGACGAGCCTCCCTTGCTCTCCTGGGCCACCACATCTCCTCTTCAACTACTACCTGTCTCTGGAAAACTTCTGTTCTTCTGTAGGCCTGCTGCCAAGCTTCTGGGGCTGCTGTCCAGGGTAGGGGTGGGTGCTTTTTAAATATTTAACAACTAGTTCTCTAAAAAATGCAGGACACTTTTAAGTTTAATCTGCATTATTAATATTTTTTTCTATCACTTTCTTAAGAGCTCCCACTGTCAACAAAACAATAGATCAAGTCTTGATTTGTAAAGTTTACTATGTTCAAGGCATAAGTGCTCACATTGAAAACTTAGCAATCAGGTTCAATCTTGGCTCCAGCACATCCCTGGGTGTCTGTCAAGCCTTCCTGGGACAAAATGAAATAAAGGATCATAGAATCCTTTGAAAGAACCCTAGGGATCACCTAGAATCCAGCCCTGTCCTTTTACAGAAGGGGCAATACAAGAGGGAGAGGGAGAGTGACTTGTCCAAGCTCACAAAGCTGGTAAATGGCCCAGCTGGGACTGAAACGGGGGCCCTCTGACCCCGTACTCACTGACTTTTCATTTAACCACAAGGAGCTTTAGACCTTTCCCCGAATTACTGAAAACCCACAAGAGGTACAGAAGGCCATATCAAGTTCAATATTTAGACTCCGACTGGAGCCCAAGAGTAAGAATAGAGGTAGAGGAGTTAATGAGTTTATTAGTGGAGTGGGGTGGGGGAAGTTGTATGTGGTTATTTATTATTCCAACATTACAGAATCTCAGAGTTTGAAGAGATGTCTCAGCATCTGTTGAGGGGAGCAGGAATGGAGTATCCCCACTACATACATATCACACACGCATGCATCCCATCCCATCCCATCCCATCCCATGCCATACCATACATGCACACCCAACCAGCCTTCTTGTGGCACAATGGGAAGTGGGATGGATTTGAAGTTAGAAGGCTTGGGTTTGAATCCTGGCTTCAATACTACAGCTTCCTCTCCTGGCCTTAGTTTTCTCATCTGCAAAATGGGGAGGTTGAATGAAATGGCCTCTAAGTCCTCCTTAAGCTCTAAATCTGTGATTCTCTGACCTCCAGTGAGAGGGAGCCAATACACACCTATAAACATCTGCTATGTGTCAGGCATGGAGCTAGGTAGGCACTGGGGGCCAAGAGAATGGAACCCTGAAAAGCAAAGCAGTCTGTTCTACTTTGGGGTCACTCTAAATGTCACAAAGACTTTCTTTAACAGCTCACCCAAATATACTTCTTTGCCACTTCCCCTATTGCTCCTTGTTCTGTCCTTGAACATAGCAAATCTAATCCTTCCTCCTCCTGATGGCCCTTCAAACATGTGAAGACTACTGTCATGTTCCCTTAAATCTTTAGCTTCCTTCCGATGTTCCTCAGTTGGCTTTCTGAGTTCAAATAGAATAAAACTTTTTCTCTTCCTTGTGACAGCCTTCAAATATTTGAAGCCAGCTATCTCCCCCTCACCCCAAATCTTTCCTGAGTAAATATTCCCTTTCAACTGACTTTTGCATGACCTGGTCCCCAGTCCTCTCCCCATGGCAGGCATCCTTTGGATGGCTGCTCTATTTTATGGTTGCAAGCACAGGGTATTGGGGGTTAATCTCTACAGAGGATCCCTCTTTTATGGGTTGATTCTCCCACAATTCAGAAGTTGCTTAGACTCCATCCTTGAGATTGTGAAATGAAAATCTGTTGGATAGTCATTTCTAGTCTGACCCTGCCATTCGCCCTGCCGATTCAGAGAATTTACTTTACCTGCTTTTCTGGGCATAGAAAAATAGTGCTCAGGCCTATTAATTTGGAAACTCAAATGGTTCCCTGGAATGAGGTCTTTTCAAAGTGCAAGAGATGGGTTTTCTCAACTTTTCTTCAGCTTTAGTGCTTGGTTTCCTTGAACATTTTGTTCTGATCTGAACTTAAGGTTTCTTTTTTAAAAATGTTTTATTAAAAACTTAATATTGGACATCAATAAAACCACCTAAATCTGTTTAGTAACCATTTAAAGTTAATTGATTTCAATGAATAAAAATAACTTTTTATTCTTTTTTTTTCCCCCATGTCTATTACTACCTACCAACACACTTCCCTCCTACTTTGAGTAAACGCTATATAACAAATAATAGTATAGTCAGGCAAAACAAATCAGCACATAAGCACATGAGCCATGCCTGGGAATGTATGTCTGGTGTGATACGTCTATGCCAAAGTGTGGAAGGTATGTTTCATTCTCAGACTTTTGAATTCATATTTGGCATCTGCT